CTTATTATTGCCCTTATACAGCGTACTTATAATGCCATTTTTTAAACATAAAGGAAAAACTCCAGAGAAACAATAGCATTAAATAACCTTGAAAGAATCAAGTATACTGTCCACCGTTTCAACCACAACCTTTCCATTCGGTTGTAGCGGTTACCTCCCTTGACGACGGTCAATAAATGGGACGCATAAAAGTATTTAAAATCGATAATTTATGAAAAGTCAAAAATATTTTAACAATTTATTTTTTACCATAATACATAATATATAATATTCATATCTGTATAAAAGTTTCAATGAAATACAAATTGATAGTAGTATGCATGCAATAACTTATTATGTAAATATGTAAATTTTGTAAAACCATAGCTTACTGTGAAACAGAATCATTTATAGTGCCCTATGTACACATTGAAATCATACTTACCTGGTACAGGGGATACCGTGATCATCCAGGCGGTTCCCCCAGGTCGAGGCCCTTCCATTGCACTCCGGTCGGGCTGAACCCTGCGATAATCCCAAATGCGGATTACTCGGGTACGCTATTTTTTAGTGTGGGGGTCTGCGTTCGCGCTAACCCCTGACCATAAACAATTCAATATTAGCTTTCGTTTTAAGTTGAAACCGCTCTCAAATTCATGCCACGACTTTATCATTTACTATTGATAAGACTAGTTGCAACGCTTTCTGAAGGGATTATCAGAATTGCGTCTTTGAGGTCGTTTTTCATAATTGAAGGGGATGAAGGTCCAAACGCCACTTCACCCCACTCCTTACCTCCCTAAAAACCGACCCTCAGTGGGCTAGGACAAATATTTAAAAAAAAAAAATGCTTATTTGTACGTTCAAGTCACTGGAAATAATTCTTATGCAATCTATATTACAACATTAATTTAAATGATAAATTGTTATATATGCGCCATGTTTATTTCATATAATGTATTGCATAAAAATCGATATAACTTGAAATCAATTTGTATGCAATTTTTATTTCACCATAGATAATTCTTAAATGATAAATCATATATTACATCATAATTGATTTCAAGTGACTCGAATGTAAATATACGAGTATATATCACTTAAGACAAAATACGATTACGTGCTAACGTAATACGCCATGTCAGATGAAAACTATACATAAAGTGAGTGGTATAATATATAACTTATCAAACATGTCACAGGGAGGAGTAAAAAATAGTATACGGATGGTTAATTTGCAATGGAATACTAACTTCTTTAATAAAATAATGTAATGAAGAAAAATGTGACTATCGACCACGACGAGACTCGAACTCGCAATCTTCCGATTCGAAGTCGGACGCCTTATCCATTAGGCCACGCGGTCCACATACAAATGAACAGATATTACGGTATTTAAACCTTTACATACAAAGTACATGTATACGCGACAATCAGTGTAAATAAAATAGATGATGAATCGATTAATGCTAACATATCTGTATACTACGTTTAACTTAAACTATTTATTTTCCATATAACTTACAAGGTTGATTATCAAGGATAAAGGGAGAATAATTCAGACAATATAACATATCATTTCCGAGTTACTTCCCTTCAATCAAACAAGCACGGGGGTTCGTTACAAATATGTACCTTACCCGGTCTTAGATTATCTAATTCCGTGGTATAACATATATTCGGGGGCATAGAGAGATAAAGCCCGGGCTTACACATAAAAATTCGGTGTGTGCCATTTGTCAAAAATGTAGCCACTGAAACAAAACAAAATATGACATCATGTTATAAAGATAATATCTTAATTGACCTTTGTATTAACTTAAGATATATGTTATACCTTCTTCAAGCCAAAATCACGTAACACTGATGCAAAAGGCTTACACATATCGATGGCCCTAGCTACGCCCCTGACATATATGTGTATTTTACATAGTTGTGACGAACCCCTGTGGTGAAAATTAGGTAGTGCCGCATCATTTTATTTTTTATTTTTGTCGACCTGTTCACATCACACTATTTCAGAGTGAAGCGTTAAAGTACATGCATATAATAGTATTTTGTAATGGTGCAAAATAAGAAATATATAAAAAGTTTTTTTACTCTTTTGATTCTTTTTGAATCATAATAAAATCTTCATACAAAAACAAGATACGATTGGATTTTGATCATTTGTCTTCTTTTTTATAATAGATTAACAATTTTGCGTCGACTTCTAGCTATGCTAACCAGGCGTTTAACAGCAGGTGTCAATTTAACTTGTTAAACGCAAATGACACGTGTACCACTTCCGTTATTAGTATAACGTCTATATAGCTTATTAAGATGTATGGGACAGATGTTCATTTTTTTTATCACATACTAATCTAGGCTAGGCGCTATACTATGACAGGCATATTCTTCCTGTAAGAAACTGTTTTTAAGACCTGATTATAAGTTAGACTTGGCTCAGCTGCCTTAATTTGATATAATAGCTAACACAATACTGGCATCGTCGCATTTCCACCTTCTGATTTACGTGAGAATTTTTTAAAAAAGTACTATTGTAAAAAACCGAGCATGTTTAAATTAATTCAGTTATTTAACGGACAAAACACAAATGAATTAGCAAAATTGGCCAAATACATTAAAGCTGCAAATTCAAGAAGAGCTTTATTNTATATATATATATATATATATATATATATATATATCATGTATATGTGTTACACTGATGAGTCGCAAGACTCAAAGTTAATAAAGAACTTGAACTTGAACCTTTGACGAATTTCGTTGTGGCATTTGATAAGCGTGTTTTTCAATTTCGACTGCACGACCCTACATATCCAGTCTTTAAGCTATGTACCCATTTAGTTCACTATGTAGTTCACTATGTGTACAGACACTTAAATACCACGATTATTATGAAATAACTACGGTACATTCTAAATGCATAACGTTTATGTGTACTGAAACGGGCGTGCCGGTATGACATGCACTACCTCTGCGTTCAAACCGGAGTTAGGATGAACTGCGTTAGGATGAACCGGAGTTAGGATGAACTGAGTTAGGATGAACCGGAGTTAGGATGAACTGAGTTAGGACGAACCGGAGTTAGGATGAACGGAGTTGAAGCAATTTATAAATAGGTAGAATAAATGTCCTAATAATGAAAGCATCGTCTACTTTCATTTTTAGGGTTCTCCGCTCAATCAGATTGCTTCCCTACACTACAGATCTTAATTTTAAATTACGAAACGAAATGCATGTCAACAATGCATCAATGCACCAAAAATATATGGAGAACCCATTTTCAACGGTGAAAATTACCCCATGGCACCGCATGTTTATTCATTTTTTATTAACATTGCGTTATTCCGATTATCACAGAGAAAATATTGGTATTGTTGTATAAATTAAGAAAGAAATAATGCCGCATTGTTCTAACGACCAGAAAAATCACAGAACAAGAACATTAAAAGTTAGTTCTGATTTCGTCTTAGTTGTTGTAATGAGTCTATAATGGCAAAGACTTTATTCTCATAAACTGATAACAGCGTAGAAAATAAACATTAATTAATTGTGTCAATTATAACCTTGACCATTTTAACTAGTGAGACTAATTTCTCAATAGAATAGAGTATTGAACTTAAGTATACTAGGTCTTTCAATATAGTATTTGGATAAAAAAAATCCTCATATAAAGTAAAATTTGACGGTTGTTACAATTAATCATAAACGAAATCCATCTGCGATTTCATTAAGGTTACAAAGATTACAGATTCTTCCTTCTCCAGGGATGTTATTCCCCCGCCGTAATCTATTGGTCATATATCATTACATATTCTAAATTTACAATAGACATTATCTTTTTTATAGACAGATATTGAAAATGGACAACCCCACACCCCTCCCTCCCACACAGAGGCGTAGTATATCATACAGATGACTTTATACGCCTCTGCTACCTCGTGATCTCATACATCGAGGTTTTTTCACCGTTAAAATGTCTGGAAATAAATAAAAGGAGGATGGGGGTGGGGGGGGGGGGTGGCTCTTTCCCCACCCTTAGTAATTTTGATTTAATTTTAATGGACGAAGGCGGCTGAAAGGCTTTATGTCATATCAACAAATATTTAACAAATAATTCATAGGAGTGTCAATAACAGAATAATAAATATGTAAAACATAATCTTATTGTGTTTCACGCATCATGGTTTTTTTCCTTTAAAATGTTTATCAGTTAAAATTCCAATTAAACCCCCCAGTCTGTTTGAGTATACTTTTTTGCTATGTCCTGTATCGTAATTACGTCAGATATGTATTAGGACCTATCACAACAGGTCAAACATGTACACATACAACTGTCCGTCCCTTAAACCTGAATCACCGAATACCGTCACAATTTAATAACCACGTGCTTGGACTTTTTCTGTAGGTATTGCAACACCGCACGCGATATTTAACTAATGAGGGTAACATGGGATATATGTGTAACATTCTGGAAGGTTTATTTTTGTAATTGATAACACATACACAACTTTGTATGTCACTGATATCATAATTAGAACAATTAATATAATTCAAAATCTTGCTTTGGGTACGTATTTTGTTCACGCTTTTGGTATAGACTTCCGTTATTTCGGGAACTCAGACTGAGTAATAGGGATTACCAACGATGGTTATTCTTCCAGAAAACTGTAACTGCATTCCAGGTAACATCTTTGTCCATAAATTATAGCAGTTTATAAATAAGTATACAGAAAGCGTCTATTTTATAGTACGTTAGTGACATTGAAATATCTATTCTGTCTGGGTGTGCTTTATGTCAACTCACGGAATTAGATGTTGTCAACTTAACTTCCAATGTATCACTACCTCACATCCGTTAAAAAACAAAAAATCCGAAAAACAACAAATAAAAAGTACAATCATTGCTATTCAATCCGATTTCCCCCTTTTGTGGCCTCATCGCGTACTCCTCGTGACGTATTCCAATAAATAATAGTCTCGTGACGTTTACCCAAGTCCCAAATCATTCCGCAATACATATAGTCCGTACTGCCGAAGTCAGTCAGACATTAATACAGCTTTGTCCCAGAGTACTTTAGGCATAATATCGGAACTTTTAAATTATATTAGTATATAATATTTTTCTACAGCCTGTCATCTGAAAATCTTAAAGATTGAAAATTTGTTTTTGCGGAGCTGTTGATCAAGATCTGTGCTCATTACTGACGTCGAAGAGTGTCAGTGTAAAGGAATTTCGTGTTGTGTGGACTGTTGCTTCGTTTGTCAACCAACAACCGTCAAAATGGTGGAAGGAGGCATGAAATGTGTCAAACTGCTTCTGTTTGCTTTTAATTTTATATTCGTGGTAAGTTGTTGTTTAAAATTGGTGGTATGATGTGAACATACGGTAACCCTCCGCCCGAGCTTTTTACTGTGTGTATTCGGGAATGACAGCTGAAGACAAGGACTCCTTACTGTGCTAGCGACAAAATATTTAAAATCAGTCACTATCCAGGAATATGTAATATTTATAATATAGCAAACGTTGTGTTTTGTTTATAATATCTCGGGGATCGGTGTGTTCGTCTACAGGTTTTACGTACGTGGCAAATTGGTTTTTCGGTTTAGGGAGGTGCCAGAAAGGAGTGCCTGAAAAATGTTAGGATTTTAAATTGGAATGTTTCTGTTATAGAATATAAACACATGTCTAAAGCGTTATTTTGTGTAAACGATAAGAAACTTTTGTGGCCCATTTAAAACTTGAGTTCTCGCAAATTTATGTCCCGGCAACCTCCGCTGACAGTTTGCTATATAAATGTTGTATGTGTACCACTAGCTAGCTATCCATTGTCACCATTAGGATCTATCTATACAGGTGGAGGACAAAATGGCGTTATAAATCCCTCGAATGTCTGGAGCTGAGTGCAGTTTTCGAAACCTTCATGTTATTGCTACGGTTGAAGTCATGGAACTAAGGAAAACTTGTTAACTAGACTTTTAAAAAAATAATGTCTAGACCTACTGCAGTAAATCAATGAAAGTTGAAAGGGAAATTATCCAAAATTTTCCTCTTTTATATAGGAAGTGAAAGTACAGTAAAGTGAATTCAATGGGAGTATAAAATCGAATCTGGCCCTCGTGAGAAAATTACACTTATTAATTGTGCTATGGTATACACAATTTCAAACACCTGTTGATTTGTTTTATTCAGAAAGAGTAGTATATTCTTTTTATGAATAAATCATTAACCAGTTTAAACTGACACAAACTTTCTGACGAGAAACCTCACCATCCCTTATAAATCCTTTATAAGGTGGACTTTAACAATTTAATCTTTGAAATGTAATAAGAAATATATACAGAATAGGTTTCATTTCTAGCTTGTGCTGATCTCTTCCATATAGCCCCCAATGTAAATCGGTATAACGCTAGAGAAAAAGTGCACAACCAGCCCAGGATTTGAACCAAGTATCTCTGGAACACCAGATAAACACTAACCAATTGAGCTTAGTATAGACCTGGGCCGTTTCAGTTTATCGCAGTCCAAACGGTTAAACCTGTAGGACCAGAGTTTATGATTCAGGCGAGCCTTGCAAGGCCTGCATAAACATTTGCAGGTCAACCAGGATTTATACCCAAAAATGTTCCGCATAAACACACAGGCCCCTGCTCTCTTGCATTTGAACCGGTCCCACTCTACTCAGGCCCCGTTCCAATACACTCCTCCTTTTTCCAAGTCCTTTCCCCCTAAGACGACACTATTTACAAACAGGTTCAGATGTGATGCCTAGCCAAGTGTACACCTAGTTCTTATAAGAATGGATGCAAAATTGGTCAAAGGCACCACTGCATCAGGATAGGGAAAAAATGCATAGCCAGACTGGGAAATGAACCCGGGACCACTCGACTCTAAACACTCTATCCAACTGAACTACCTGGTCACTGGCAATTCATCCAGTCAGGCTTCGCTACAATAATAGACATGTACAACTCCATGTATCATTATTATTTTCATTTGTGCATATATAGTAATTAGGGTAAATAGATGGTTAACCTTGGTGTAATTGTACTGCAGTATTTTTCTTTTGGTACAAGTTACAGCATTACTAGCCCTCCTCCACAGGGTCACGTTTTTTGAGGCCTAAGAACACTGGGCAGTTGCCAAGCACTTCATGCAGGTCGTTGTTTTTTTATTTGGGTACTACAGCTCTCCTCCACCACGAAAACCTGGCACGTTCTTAAAATACCATAGCTGTTAATTTAATTTGATATAAAACACAAACAAACCAAATGTTATAGATTTGACAGTTTAATACTACAACTTCTAGAGTGGATTATACCTTGTAAATAGCGTATAAATAATTAGATTATCAGATTATAGAGATACACTTAGAACTGTTGTTACATAAACAAAATCACTAAAATTATAAAATTGCAGTCATGAATATGATGAAACTTTGAATTTCACATGGGGTAGATGTAAATCCCTGATATACTTCATAAGTGAATATCGTGCTATACTTACATGCGTTATGAAAGATAGCCGTCCCGACCTGATCATATTTTACATGTATATAACAGTACAGATATGATCATCACAAATGTGTACATATGCTCCTCTGTAGGGCTGGAAAAAAAGTTTAAAATCCAATGAATAGGACTTGGTTCACTGAACACAGGGAAGCAGCAATACAAAGGAAAGACCATGAAACGCACAAAAGCGTTTTAAATCTACGCACAAAAGCGTTTTAAATCTGTTTCAAAAACTTTGGAGAATATCACTTTGTGTAAAATATGAAAAGTTCTTCAAAACATGTAGGTATACCTCACTTCTATAATATGATACTGGTCTCAAATATCTTCCTTTAATTTAGATTTAATTTTTACAAAAGGTATTCCCGTGATGACCAAAGAAATTCTGATTTTTTTTCAGCAATTCAAATTATATGTTGGACATTTTATTCTAATACAAAGAAAACTTCCTTGTGTAAAAAGTCCATTTAACTCAATTCACCCCTGAAGACATTTACACTCGGACCAGGTAATGGGCAGATCTGAGTTGTGCGGGTTACCTGGTGGACCGACAGTCTTTAACCCTTAGCTTTCACCCCTTTGTAACTTTAGTAAAACTCTTCCATGCTTTGATCTGGATGTCAGTCCATTATGGTCCACAGTGGTCAAAGGGTTAAACTGTCAAGCCCAGAGATAAAAATGTCATCTTACCATGACAGTAAAAGATCCAGTTCAGTTCAAGCTAATTAAACCTGGCTGTACATTAGTGACTTTCAAATGGCTTTCATCTGAGTCATCCTTGCGTTTGTACTTGTTTATAAATACTGGTGACAACGAGGAATGTGACCAGCGCTATTCCATGAATGAAGAACCTAGCTATTGTACATGTGTATTGGTAGTATATGTTCCAGACTTCTCACTATCTAATTGATATGAGACAATTCTTCTCCCAGAGTTTCATTTGAAGCATTTTGAACAAGCTGTTATTTGAAATAATCTAATACATTAGAAAAAACATGACCAAGATATCTTAACATTTGAACAAATTTTAAGAAAGGGGGGTAAAATGATAAATTGTGAAAACAAAAACTTGAGTTTGTTGAACCTGCAGGGACATATAAATAATGTTTGGCCTAACTGGTTATATAGTTATGATTCATGTAAAACCGAAACAACGTTGCATTATTTATGCATACACTGGGTCTATTTCCTTGTTTGATACTTACCTATCTTGTTAAGTCATAGTTAACTTAACTACTTTTGGGCAGTTGCCAGTGTAAAAATTACATGAATCCCCATATACTATACATGTATAACACCAGCTGCCTATTAAAAAGTGTTATCAGGCCATCAACGATAAATTAGAAAAAAATCTTTATTTAATTAACCTGTTAGGCCAAACATGAAAAAATCTTGTTTCCGCTTACCCTACCTACCCTAGATTTGTGTGCCTACACTTAATTTTCTATTGGCATTTAGTGATATATGCACTGTTTAAGTCAGAACTCCTACTCTATAGAAGCATCGTAAAAACATTCCCCCCCCCCCCAAAACAATTATTGCCGACCTATCGACCCTATTTTTTTCTGAGAATGATATATAGCAGAAACACAAGAAATGTTCTTTTTGTCTTGGGGATGTAAAAACATCCAAAATGGCTAAATGGCACAATAGTATAGCTTCAGAATGACACTCCTGAAAATGAAGATATGGATTGTTAGCTGTTTTGTATATAATAGTGCTAGTTTATTGATTCCCCTCTGTATTTTTTCTGTCACAGCTGTTCATTGTTGCTGTCATACGATGTCTAAGTTTATCATGTCGGTGTCTACACGATACATATGTACAACATAAATCTCTTTACATGCAACATTTGTACCAGCATTATATTGAATATGTACTTGTATAGACATTAGATTACATTTCTGTATATATGTACAGCATATATAGACCTATTGGACATCTTTAATGTGTGTACATCATTTCTGGCACTGAGTGGTACAGCTAGCTCTATTTTTGTATAAAAAAAAATAATTAAAAACAAATCAAGAACAGGGTTTTTGGGAAATGGACCCTGGTATGAAAATTTGAATTGGGAAAATCAATATACCAACTCTAAATACATGAAATTAGATTGTTAAACTTTTATCTAAGCCTGTCGCTATGACCACGTGATTGTTTAACTTTTATCTAAGCCTGTCGTTATGACAACATATCATTCTGACCTTCCTAAATATGCTGCTGTATTTTGAGAACATTGTCAATAGAGAGTTAGCAATTTTAAAGAGGTGAATTTGGAAAAATCAGACACTTTTATCAGTTGAGAATGGGTCCTTTAAATAGGGTACTACCTAAAAATGTACTCTGATGAACCTCTGAAGAAGGTTCTTAAGTTATTTTTTGTGAAGTTTTGTTGACATTCTATTTGTTGGTCACTCGGGTGTTAAAATAATATAAACTATTTATTTAACAACAGTTATGAAACAAGTTATTTCAACTTATATCAATCACTTTTGTTGGGCCAGATGTTAGCGCACGGGAGGTCTTAATGTGGGAAAACCAGAGAACCCAGAGACAACCCATGTGGTCAGGCAGGTGATCCCATACCTTTTCATGTCCAATTGGGGAATCAAACCCTGGCCGCCTTGGTGAAAGACCAGTGCTATCCACTGCGCCACCCGACCACCCTTGGTTGTTACTTAATATCCTGACCCTATTTTGTAAGTTGAAAATTTCAGTTGTTATATTTTGTTTTGTTTTCCAGGTGGTAGGATGCGTTCTGATTGGAGTAGGAACATACATCCAAGTACAGTTCAAGGACTATTTAAACTTCGTAGAAGGACAGTTTAGTTCTGCCGCAGCACTCCTCATCGCTGTCGGTGTCATCATCTTCTTCATCGCTGCTTTTGGCTGCTGTGGAGCATGGAAGGAAAATTATGTCTGTGTTATGATCGTAAGTACATGTGGTTTGACTGACATGGTGATAGCAGGTAAATTGAAAGTTGTCCTGGCAACATACATCTGCCTTTCCATGGGTTCGTCCATGTATCGTCATGGTTATACAGTCGGCTATCTTCTACTGTGGATACATAGCGGATGAGTATTACAGAAGTGCAGTGTTAATCCAATGTAGGTCACTGTGACCTATATTTTCTACTTTGCTGACTTTGGTTAAACTTTGTATTGAGATCTGTTTCTATTAAAATGGTAGCTTTACAGTCATACATGTTCTTCAAACAATTTGTAGTGCTGCCTATTATTAAATACGCTACACGTCCTTCTCAAACATCTCCGTAAACCCAACACCCTGTAAAACTTGAGTTAACTAGTACTTGATACTTGAAAGAAAAAAAAAAGAAAAAAAATGTATAAATCCACATAATATGTCAAAAAAATGACAAAAGATAGGAGAAATAAAATTCACAACAAAATTAAGAATTTCTTAGTTTAAAAAAATGTAAAAACATTTTTAGTAGATTTTTGTTATACCTGCAGTAAGCTGATTATTTTAAGTAGGTTATTTTTGCTCTTTAGCTTTCAAGTAGTACTCGTGTTTTAATATTAAATTTTTCACAATTCTCACTTTTAAGATTTTGATAGTGTTGTTATAATAATATGTTCTGATCACCATCAGTTTTGATGATTGTATGAAATGTATTAGATCATTTATGACATTTTAGTAATAACACAGGTTTGCAGATCATGAGTGTTAAGCACACCTGTATGCCAGTAATTATAATTCCATTGTCTTGTCCATTTTTATGCTTTAGAATTATAAAAAGTCATCGGTTTCAGACAAGGCCGAAAAATATTCAACCCCGGTAATGAATGAAATTATATTTCTAATTGATGGATCATTTACTTTATAGTTTTCTGTACTGCTGGGAATCGTCTTCATCCTGGAGATCGCAGGAGGCATTGCCGGCTATGTTCTCCACGACAAAGTGGAAGATGGGGTCAAGACATTAATGAACGACTCAATGAAACGCTACGATGCTGACCCCACAATCTGGGATTTGGTCCAAAAAGACTTCAAATGCTGTGGTACAAACAGCTCAGAAGATTGGAAAAACGTTAACAATGGCACTGTCCCCGCTTCCTGCTGTCCGCCAGATGGAACCTGTGATGGGAAAGGAAGCGGAGTTTACTCTGTTGTAAGTTCGACTATAAGAGCAATGTTTACACAGACCATTTTAGGGGTGGTGGATCTATCAAACTTGACATATAAGAGGTTTTACTTTAATGTGACAAATGAGGATCATTATTGAGAGGTTTTACTGTACAGTAATAAATGAGGGGCATTATATAGAGGTTTTACTGTGTAATAATAACACAATAATGTACAATATTTATAAAGCACCCTCTTTAAATTGCTAAATTTCTTATGCTATAAAATGACAAACAAAGGTGTTTAATAGAGGTTTTACAGTAATGTAACAAACGCCGGGGACTATTTAGAGGTTTTTGTACAGTAATAAATGAGGGGCATTGTATAGTGGTTTTACAGTTTAGCAATAATATAATTATAATGTAAATTTTTATAGTGCCCTATATAATTTGCAAAATTGTTCTAAGGCACTTAAAGTGCTTTATAGGGATAAACAAAGAGCATTTTATAGAGCGTTTACGGTGCAGTGACAAATGAGGGGCATTGTATAGAGGTTTTACTTTATGTTGATAAATGAAGGGCATTATATAGAGGTTTTACTTAATTTTGACAAATGAGGGGCGTGATATAGAGGTTTACTAGTTATCTCTGACCATTTTCAAGTCTTCCTACCTCACCATTATGACTTATGTTTCTTTTTTTTTGATTAGTCGCAATGCACCAACGTCCGGTCTTAATTAACTCCATAGATACTACATGGATACAGCGCTAGAAATATGGTGTATTCACTGATCACAAGGTAGTCATGCAAATAATCTCTTTGTTTTAGGGATGTCTGGATGCCTTCGTCGACTGGGTAAAGGATAAGATCTTCATCGTTGGCGGTGTTGGAATCGGGCTGGCTTTTGTACAGGTAAGTTAACTGGCTGAAGGATAAAATCCTGTGTTACAATCATGTTGGGAGTATTTACCTGAGCTATGTACTAAACTGATCTCGCCTAACTGCCCTCTGACAAAAAATGATTTTTCTAATTCAGAAAATAGAAGAAGAAACTATGTAAACAGTAACCAATGAAAATGAATTTTAAATTTGCTGCCTAAACACATGAAAATATTAGCCCCGACAAATGATCATCGTATAAACTTTCCACCTCCATTGCTGGTTCAGTCCGAAATAGAAAAATAAAATCTGTTTATGATTTATCTCTATACTTAATTTGATTACCGGTACTTTACAGCATAGGTCAGTGTCGTGCATCAGAACTTTAAAGTTTTCTTTGAAAGAAAAAAAAATCTTCAATTGAAGAAAAGTAAAATGGATTTAATACAGAAATCTAATTAAATTTGTCACCACTGCCTGGCTAGGATTAGGGATTGAAATTTAGCCGCATTCTGAACGGAAAATACAGGGGTATGTTCCCAACGTTTCCTTAATTCCCTCAGTTTGAAAGCATTTGATGTAATTTCAGGTTCAACAGTAGGGTTAAGTATAGGTAATTTAAGATGATTACCAAACTTAAATTTATTATATTTATTACTAAACTGTGCATCTGTCGTAATTTAATTATTAATGTAACAAATGTATGACCAATGAACCCTAATATACAAATTGTACTTAAAACTCATTCAGATTTCCTCAGGTTTTACTTAGCACACCAACATACCCGGTCTCCTGCATACACAATGCAAGCATACATACACTACACACAGGAGGCACGTCCTTAAATCACCTTAGCTGTTAACAGGACGTTAAACAAAATTAAACCAAACCAAACTTGTAATGATTTATTTTACTTTGTAGATTGTTGGTATCCTGTTTGCCTGTTGCTTTGGCCGAGCTCTAAAGAAGGAGTATGAAGTTGTGTAAAACTAACATCACACGATAAAGGAGAAACATGCTGGACCAATGAGGCATTCTGTTACATCTGCTGCCCAAAAATGAAGTTCCTGGGAGGGCGTTATCAACAATCCAATCTCTGCTGATGTGTAGAAAGTTATAACATTTTTGTGATGGGGCTAAAACTAAATTTTCAGGCATGTTTTTCGTGAAATTCATGCTAACTTCTTAATTCTTCATCTTTCCACACATCATTTCTTCAATCAATTCACAAGGAACGTTTGATATCAAATTATGGTGCATGTCATTTGAAGGAATTTATTTTTTCCAGATATATTTTGAATTTAAGTAGAATTTAATGAGATTTACCTATATGTTCAACAAAAATATTTTTAACTCTTGTGATAAGACATCATTTCATCATCAGGCATTTGCTGACATCGTATCATTTATTGTGAAACAAATGCTTGTGGAATACTTTCAAAAATCAAATCCAAGCGTGGAGGTGAAGAAAAGTATTCTTGTTTTCGTTGAGACATTTAATCATCATAAACTATTTTCTGTCGTAGTAATCTTGCGTATTTGACCTTGTCCTAGGTCACTGTCAGAGGTTGAGGGATACAATTTACCACATATTACTAACAATGTATTTTATTACACTGCAAATGTAGCTGGACAATATCTGTAGATTGTAATGGATAGGACAAGCCTTACAATGTTGTTGTCAGGACAATGACCTTCAAGATTGGTTCAAGGTCAAAATGTTGACACGACATTTCAGATAGAAGGATAAGATGGACGATCAAGGTTGAAAAATCAAAATTGACATTCACGTTTATAAAAGGTTGAATATCGTAACAGATATTTAAACATTGACACAAGTCAAATGACTTTCAAAGTTGAAAGGTCGACCATGGTTGACAATGATGAATCCTATCATCTTTGACCTGTTTAGAGGGCCCATTATCTGTTGTCATCCTTTTTTATTTGTAATTTGCTATATTTTCTGTTAGTAAAAGCAATTAAAATGCTTAAAGTTTCAGCTTGTGTTTGTTTTTAGTTGCATTATTTGTTGTTTTTCATGAATTCCCTTATTTTGATTAACACTTAAAAGCCTTATCTGATGTACCATTGCCACACTATTCCATTAATTTGCTCTGTAAAACTGGGCCAATTTTCTTGCGAAATCTTTGTGTTTTGTTCTTTCTTAATTTCTCTTCCTATTTGGTGGAGTCCAGGCACTCGTCTTTGTATGACCGTAGGTGTTGCGAGGACGATAGTGTAGTTAAGGCCCTCGTCTTTGTGTGCCCGTAGCTGTTGCGAGGACGATAGTGTAGTTAAGCCACTCGTCTTTGTATGACCGTAGGTGTTGCGAGGACGTTAGTGTAATTAAGGCACTTGTCTTTGTATGACCGTAGGTGTTGCGAGGACGATAGAGTAGTTAAGGCACTCGTCTTTGTATGACCGTAGGTGTTGCGAGGACGTTAGTGGAGTTAAGGCACTCGTCTTTGTATGACCGTAGGTGTTGCGAGGACGTTAAACCTTTTACCACTGTAGACCATAATGGACTTATCCAGATCAATGCATGGTAGAGTTTACTAAAGTTACATAGGGGTGAAAGGGTTGGACCCCATGGAAACCAAAAAAAACGCGTTGTTGTAAGATTGATATATTCAGGAACTGTTGTACGTTGATCTGTTAAACATAATCTTGTGCCTATTTTCTTAGTTCTGAACTTGACATTTACCAATATATATATATATATATATATATATACCAACAGAAAAATCAAATTTCAACGGAAACTGCTATAATAAAGTCTACATATTGGAAGTAGTGTAAGCTGATGGCATGTAGCTGTTATGAAGTTTTAGTTTAACCAATAGGACCTGTCGTGCTGTTTAGAAGTTTTAGTTTAGCTAATAGGACCTGTCGTGCTGTTTAGAAGTTTTAGATTAACCAATAGGACCTGTCGTGCTGTTTAGTGGATCATTTGATGAACTGTAGGTTCAACAGGTGGTCATAACCGCTTATGTTTTGATTCGACACATCAAACCTTGGGTAAATTGCTACACATTTGTTATACATGTATAGTAGACGGTACTGTATTCACGCAAAGAAACCACATGGCTCCGTTTCAGCTTACCACCAATATAGTTGAAATTTTGAAACAAAATATTAGCATGAATAGGGGAAACATATTGATTTTGCAAATTTACTCCTTTGCTTCTAAATTTTAACTCTTGCATTGTTTCAGTTTAAAATATTTTATTACCAGTATACATAAGTACTCGTCTAGTTGTGAATTTGAGATGTATGTATATAACTTTGTGCTATTTAGGCTTTTACGCAGCAATATTCCATATACACTATAAATTGGCATGCTCGAGTATCATGTTAACTCGTTCACCTCTGCTATTTCATAACGAACTGTTCCAACCTTTGAATTAGAAGAGTTCAAATGTGTCTTCAGGGGTGAATGAGTTAATTACACACATATTTCTTAATATCTCCCCACTTCAGTTAGTATAACTAGACAGAATATAACCCTTTCACCCCTGTAGACCATAATGGACTCGTCAAGATGAATGTATGGTAGAGTCTACTCAAGTTATCAAATTATTTCCATACCATGGAAAATGGAGTGGACTTGATGTTAGATAGCACAACAATGACTTCCTACCATGAACAGTATTTCCATGTCCTATACAATTCAGTATACTATATTGTATATTATGGGAAATATACTATACAAAAGTTTATATCCAACAATTACTTTAAACCATTGACAATCGGGTAGATAGGATTTTAGATACAACAATGCTTTCCATAAAATGGACAAGAAATACTGGACAAGACTTTAGATAGAATTAGTTTATTTCCCTGTTTATCTTAAATTTTTGATATAACAAAATATATCCTGATCATGGGACCAAGTAGATTAGATTTTAGAAGGAAGTTACTAACATGGTTAATCACTTTACTTAGATGAAACAAGATATCCCTGAACAGTCTTCAATTAGCTAGGGAGGAGTTAAGTATAAAATCCTAGAGCACAGTACAGTGGATGTGATTATTGATAACAAAACCTAGGGTGCCATAATCAAATTGTTATCCCATTCACCACTAAAGTGACTTTTGAATCTATTTACACAACCAATAAAACTTGCAGTTCAGACTAGGCATACATACAGGCAGGCGTACACTAGGCATACATACAGCCAGGGTAGACTAGACATACATATAGGCAGGCGTAGACTAGGCATACATACAGGCAGGTGTAGACTAGGCATACATACAGGCAGGCGTAGACTAGGCATACATACAGGCAGACATAGACTAGGCATACATATAGGCAGGCATAGACTAATCATACATATAGGCAGGGGGAGACTAGGCATACATACAGGCAGGCGTACACTAGGCATACATACAGCCAGGGCAGACTAGACATACATATAGGCAGGCGGAGACTAGGCATACATACAGGCAGGCACTAGGCATACATACAGGCAGGCGTAGACTAGGCATACATGCAGGCGGGCGTAGACTAGACATGCATACAGGCAGGTGTAGACTAGGCATACATACAGGCAGGCGTAGACTAGGCATACATATAGGCAGGTGTAGACTAATCATACATACAGGCAGGGGGAGAATAGGCATACATATAAGCAGGGGTAGACTAGGCATACATACAGGCAGGCGTAGACTAGGCATACATATAGGCAGGCATAGACTAATCATACATACAGCCAGGGTAGACTAGACATACATATAGGCAGGTGTAGACTAGGCATACATACAGGCAGGTGTAGACTAGACATACATATAGGCAGGTGTAGACTAATCATACATACAGGCAGGTGTAGACTAGGCATACATACAGGCAGGCGTAGACTTGGCATACATACAGGCAGGCATAGACTAGGCATACATACAGGCAGGTGTAGACTAGGCAAACATATAGGCAGGTGTAGACTAGGCATACATATAGGCAGGTGTAGACTAGACATACATATAGGCAGGCATAGACTAGGCATACATATAGGCAGGCGTAGACTAGACATACATACAGGCAGGCCTAGACATACATACAGGCAGGCATAGACTAGGCATACATACAGGCAGGTGTAGACTAGGCATACATACAGGCAGGCGTAGAGTAGGCATACATACAGGCAGGCGTAGACTAGACATACATACAGGCAGGTGTAGACTAGACAAACATGCAGGCAGGCGTAGACTAGACGTACATACAGGCAGGTGTAGACTAGACAAACATATAGGCAGACGTAGACTAGACATACATATAGACAGGCGTAGACTAGGCATACATATAGGCAGGTGTAGACTAGGCATACATATAGGCAGGCGTAGACTGGACATACATACAGGCAGGCCTAGACATACATACAGGCAGGCGTAGACTAGGAATACATACAGGCAGGTGTAAACTAGACATACATATAGGCAGGCGTAGACTAGGCATACATACAGGCAGGCGTAGACTAGGCATACATATAGGCAGGCGTAGACTAGGCATACATACAGGCAGGTCTAGACTAGGCAAACATACAGGCAGGCGTAGACTAGGCATACATACAGGCAGGCGTAGACTAGGCATACATACAGGCAGGCGTAGACTAGGCATACATGCAGCCGTATGCAGATACCTTAAATTTAGAAAGTCGATGTTAAGATCCCAGTGTTATTCAATAACTTCAAATTCGTTTGTTGGAACTATGTTAGAATCTTTATAATCTTGTTTGAGGTTACATACCAAAAACAGTTCCTGCACTGCTTCCCTGTCTGTAAGGTGTTGTTACTGCTTCACTGTCTGTAAGGTGTTGTTACTGGTTTCACTGTCTGTAAGGTGTTGTTACTGGCATGTACATGTGCTATTGAATGTATTGTCCTATTGTAGAATCGAGTTTGATGCTGTTTGCTTTACTAATGTAGAAGCATTATATTAAGACACTTGTCAATTCTGAAGTCAATGGGCATTACAGAAACACTCGCTCACAAGACCATAGGCACAGACAGTATATAATAGATGTACAGGGCCTGTTAAGACACTTGTCAATTCTGAAGTCAATGGGCATTACAGAAACACTCGCTCACAAGACCATAGGCACAGACAGTATATAATAGATGTACAGGGCCTGTTAAGACACTTGTCAATTCTGAAGTCAATGGGCATTACAGAAACACTCGCTCACAAGACCATAGGCACAGACAGTATATAATAGATGTACAGGGCCTGTTAAGACACTTGTCAATTCTGAAGTCAATGGGCATTACAGAAACACTCGCTCACAAGACCATAGGCACAGACAGTATATAATAGATGTACAGGGCCTGTTAAGACACTTGTCAATTCTGAAGTCAATGGGCATTACAGAAACACTCGCTCACAAGACCATAGGCACAGACAGTATATAATAGATGTACAGGGCCTGTTAAGACACTTGTCAATTCTGAAGTCAATGGGCATTACAGAAACACTCACTCACAAGACCATAGGCACAGATAGTATATAATAGATGTACAGGGCCTGTTAACTGTAAATCAACTTTTTGGACTTTATAGTACGAATACAGGCACCAATGTGTCTGTGGACATTGTATATTAACATGGTCTAATTAAATGGAAACCTATCTTTTGGACGTTATATACAGTTAGGCCTTAATGCTGACACCATTGTTTCTGTGGAAATAGTAGGTGTACATGATCTAATTAAATGCAAACCTATCTTTTGGACGTTATATCCAGTTAGGCCTAAATGCTGACATCAATGTTTCTGGTGAAATAGTAGGTGTACATGAGCTAATTAAATGGAAACCTATCTTTTGGACTTTATATACAGTTAGGCCTAAATGCTGTCATCAATGTTTCTGTTGAAATAGTAGGGGTACATGATCTAATTAAATGGGAACCTGTCTTTTGGACGTTATATACAGGTAGGCCTAAATGCTGACACCAATGTTGCTGTTGAAATAGTAGGTGTACGTGATCTAATTAAATGGAAACCTAGCTTTTGGACGTTATATACAGTTAGGCCTAAAGGCTGACACCAATGTTTCTGTTGAAATCGTAGATTTGCATGGCCTAATTAACTAAAATAAACAACATGTTTCTTGTCAATTCTGAAGTCAATGGGCATTACAGAAACACCCACTCACAAGACCATAGGCACAGACAGTATATAATCGATGTACAGGGCCTGTTAAGACACTTGTCAATTCTGAAGTCAATGGGCATTACAGAAACACCCGCTCACAAGACCATAGGCACACACAGTATATAATAGATGTACAGGGCCTGGTAAGACCCTTGTCAATTCTGAAGTCAATGGGCATTACAGAAACTCTCGCTCACAAGACCATAGGCACACACAGTATATAATAGATGTACAGGGCCTGGTAAGACCCTTGTCAATTCTGAAGTCAATGGGCTTTACAGAAACACTCGTTCGCAAGACCATAGGCACAGACAGGATATAATAGATGTACAGGGCCTGTTAACTGTAAATCAACTTTTTGGCCTTTATAGTACGAATACAGGCCCCAATGTGTCTGTGGACATTGTACATTAACATGGTCTAATTAAATGGAAACCTATCTTTTGGATGTTATATACAGTTAGGCCTAAATGCTGACTCCAATGTTTCTGTTGAAATAGTAGGTGTACAGGATCTAATTAAATGGAAACCTAGCTTTTGGACGTTATATACAGTCAGGCCTAAATGCTGACATCAATGTTTCTGGTGAAATAGTAGGTGTACATGATAGTACGAATACAGGCACCAATGTGTCGTTAAAGGTTTTATATTAACATGGTCTAATTAAATGGAACCCTATCTTTTGGACGTTATATCCAGTTAGGCCTAAATGCTGACACCAATGTTTCTGTTGAAATTGTAGATTTGCATGGCCTAATTAACTAAAATAAACAACATGTTTTGGACTTGATGGACAATACCGACACCAATATTTCTGTTGCAAATGGAGTTCCATGGCCTAAATCACTGAGAATTATATTTAATGTTGTGTTTCTGTTGGAATTTCTTTGATTTACTTGGTCTACATATAATTAACCAAAAGTCCATCTTTTTGACTTATAGACAGTACGACCACTAGTATTAATGTTGGAACTCTATAAAGACTTGTAAACAATACTAACACTGACACCAAGTATCTGTTTGGGTTACACAGTGTTACATGGCCTAATAACCGAACAATCCATCTTTTGTACTTATAGACAATACGACCACCAATATTTATGTTGGACTTCGATAGATTTACATGACCTATAATTAATCGGGAATCCATGTTGTGTTAATGTGATAATACTATAATTTAATGGGTTTTTTTCGTGTTTTATTTTTCTCTTTTTCCACGATTCAAGGTGCATGGAATACTTCTTCGCCAGTCCGTCTTCGAAATTCGAGTTGGCGCTCTTTCTTAACATATCTTGAGTAGAAAAGATGTGTGCATTCAGAACGGAACCTTAATGGTTTTCGATGATGACGTCAGTTCTGTAAAACGTTTCATTTCTATGAAATATTTCTGTCGCAATAGCGACATGTACATACTTCCTGTTATTCGTGTGCATTGCTGTTATGATTTGAATCAAACTTGCAAGTTTTACGTGTTGGGTTTTCACACTAGGATAGCTATTTTGATAAGTATCGTGGAGCTTTTCATCAAAACAACAGCTGTTGTTGCTCTGTTGTGTATTTTTAATCAGAAGTTAGGCTTATTATCATCAAAACTTTGTATTCAAAGCCAAATTTTCTTTAATCAAAATAATCTACTATTCATACTGTTGTTAGGTGAGTGATGCTTTCAATAACTCATTCACCCCTTAAATTCATAATGAACTATTCCAACCTTTGAATTGGAGGAGTTCAAATGTGTCGTCAGCGATGCATGAGTTAAATAAATGTGCAGATAAACTGCTCCGACATGAAAGACGGTGCTCGACCGACCCGATTTATTTTACGATGGTAATTCCGAAACCTTAGAATCAGTGCCTTGGTGATTCAGGAATTAAAGACACTACAGCAGATCAACAGGAGACCAATAATAAATCAGAATAAAAGTTCGCGGAAAACGGCCCTTATACTGAGGTGTTGGACTTCTGTTATCAGATCTGGCCTCGATAGTTTTTATCCTTGTCTAAATTCGATTGTTCCACGGGAAAGAGACGGACTATTTTAGGATATTTCCAGCAAGTTTGTAAACCTTTGTCAAATCTACAACAAAGAAAACAAGTGCTGATTTGGACATACGAGAAGCTTTACGTAGCATGTTGTAAATATTTCAAAATTCTGCAGTACAGGTAGAAAATTGGATCTCAGAAATACTCGTACAAAGAATTATGGAAAATGAATAAAACTGTCGATCGCCAAGATTATAGTCTATTTAGAGGTTGTGAGTTAGATAAGAATTCTTAAAAAAACACTTTTGTGAGAGATTTATTTATGAAAAAGCCTTGTTTTTGCACCAATTTCCACTTCTATTTGTTTGTACTACCTCTACCAATCTAAGCATTACTGTAATCTGCCTGGACTCGCGGGTGTAGCAGGCTTCATTAGCTGACAGAGTCCCAACACTTGTCTATTGTATACAGGCCTCAAGGTCGAGTGTCCAAGCGGTGTTCTCGTGTATAGACCTTAGTTTAGAGAGTTAACCCACTCCTACTATATGCAGGCCATGGGAAGTTATATCCATGTTAAAAACAGAAATTGATATATTTCAAAAAAATATTCTGGAAAGAGAAATTATGATGGATGTCAAAGTTTGAAAAAGAGGCATACACAAATTGAAATCTGTTGGAGTCACATGGAGTCGCTGGGTCTCTACTCGAGCAGAATGTAGGTATATTTCCTTTAATACACCAACATCCTCATATTTCAACTGGTATTTTAAGAATGGAATTGCATCAAAATAACGATTTAAATTAATCACCGTTAGACTTAGGTGATCAATTAATGCCGAGTTTATCTAGATTCGATTTAGTATACCGTTAAGGTTGGTCAAGCTTGATAAACTGAGTCCAGGGCCCGGTTGTTCAAAAGGTGGTTAGCTTAATCGGTGATAAGCGCAAATTTTGATTTTTGAGTAACTTTAAAACACAACAACTTTCCAGATATCAAATGTTTAGTAGAGTAAGTTTACATGCAAAATTGTAATTAAGCTAACCACCTTTTGAACAACTGGGCCCTGAAATCTCCCGAGAAAGAGGAAACATTGAACGTCATGACGTCATTAATCCCTGTGTATTTTTGTACATTGTATATCTGTATATTATTCTATCTGGCTGACTTTGTAGTGAACTGTTACACAAAGAAAATCTCGTTAATCCGTATGCTTCTGGTCCGGAAAAAATGATCAGAAAAAGCGAATACACGAAAATCTGTGCCACACT